AGTAAGTATGCACCTCACCAGGTGGAAGCAGAAGCACAAAAGCATTCCAGAAAACACATATCAACCAAGAGTATTTAGTGTACTGCAGGTAACAGTATGCATCATTTATGAAGGGAATGAAGGATGTCAGAAAAGTTGATTATATGGCTGCTACTTTAGAGGGTTATACACTTTCAGAACCTGAAACCATCTCCACTGTTTTTTTTTTTTTTCTTTAAGGGAAGATGCTGTTGGGAAATGAAAAACATGGTTTGAGAGAGGCGTGGGAAATGGGGAGCATGCCAGTCCTTACTGCTTACCCCTTGAGTGTGGGGGTAGGGTGTGTGTGTGTGTGTGTGTGTGTGTGTGTTGGGGGAAGTGGGATTTTGAGTCACAGAAGGGCACAGGAAATGGCTATCATTGGATAGGGCTTTACCAGGAACTGCAAGCTTTAGTTATAAGTGAGTGGCAGGAATGATTAAATAAGAGGATGCAGTAAACTTTGTTCACAGTACACTAATGGGTATAATCCAGTTAATAAGGGAAGGAGAAAGACTGAAGATAAAGCTGTGAGTACAGGAAGAGGGAAGAAAAAGGAGAGGGCTGTGGCTCAGGGTCAAAATTGTGACTAAAAGCGACAAAGCAAACAGGAAGCTATGAGGTAGACGTTAGCATAAACTTCCAGGGCTTTTTCTTTGAAATATGTATTGAACTATTCTTCATATGATCTTCAGCTACATTTTGGTACAAAACTTCTGACCCTAAGAGAAGTGCTACAAAAGCATGTTAAGAGTAATTCCAGACCTTTAGAAATGTACACCTTAGTTAGAGAGATAAAAGTAAGTACAAATAGGGCGGGCACAGAGGCTCACACCTATAATCCCAGCACTTTGAGAGGCCAAGGCAGGCAGATCACCTGTGATCAGGAGTTCAAGACTAACGTGGCCAACATTGTGAAACCCTGTCTCCACAAAAATACAAAAATTAGCCAGGCATGATTGTGGGTGCCTGTAATCCCAGCTACTTGGGAGGCTGAAGAGGGAGAATCACTTGAACCTAGGAGGCAGGGGTTGCAGTAAGCTGAGATTGTGCCACTGCACTCCAGTCTGGGCGACAGAGTGAGACTCCATCTTAAAAACAAATTTTAAAAAGTACAAATAATGACAAGACCAGGTAATACATACTAAATATGACAGAAGAGCAACACAGAGAGTAAGTGCCATAAAATGATTAGATTCTTTTCACGTTAAGAGTCAAGTCACAGCAGATTCCTCCTTGCACTCTCCTATGATGCCTCTGACTCACTGTAGTACCACTTAATCTTTCTGTTCTACAGATGTGGTAACAGTTTCATAAAACTCTGTTACTTATCTGGTTGTATTGATTCTTAGTTAAAAGCTCCCTAAAAATTAGTGAAAGACTTTATTTTTGGAGAAACAATAAGATGATAAAAATGTGTGTTTTTAAAATTTCAATGATATGATTTGGCTCTGCATCCTCACCTAGATCTCATGTTGAATAGTGATCCTGAGTGTTGGTGGAGGGGCCTGGTGGGAAGTGACTGGATAATGTGGGTGGACTTCCCCCTTGCTGTTCTCATGATAGTAAGTTCCCACATGATCTGGTTGTTTAAAAGTATGTGGCACTTCCTGCTTCACTCTCTCTCTCCTGCTACCATGTGAAGATGTGCTTACTTCCCCTTTGCCCTTCTGCCATGATTGTAAGTTTCCTGAGGCCTCCCCAGGCATGTCTCCTGTATAGCCTGCAGAACTGTGAGTCAATTAAACCTCTTTTCTTTATAAATTACCCAGTCTCAAGTAGTTCTTTATAGCAACATGAGAACAGACTAATACATTTATCTTGAAGAATTTCAAACACATACCCAAGTACACAGCATAGGAAAATGAACCCCATGTGCCCATCAACAGCCTCAAGAGTTTTCAGCAAATGCCCAATCCTTTTCACTTCTCTCCCTGTGAATAATTTTGAAGCAAATCTCATGGTAAGTATTTTTAAATACCTCTCTCAAAGCTAGTATTCCTTTATAGAAATACAACCAGGCCAGGCACGGTGGCTCATGCCTGTAATTCCAGCACTTTGGGAGACTGAGGCACGCCAATCACCTGAGGTCAGGAGTTCGAGACCAGCATGACCAACATGGAGAAACTCTGTCTCTACCAAAAATACAAAATTAGCTGGACGTGATAGTACATGCCTATAATCCCAGCTACTAGGGAGGCTGAGGCAGGAGAATTGCTTGAACCCAGGAGGCGGAGGTTGTGGATGAGCTGAGATCGCACCATTGCCCTCCAGCCTGGGCAACAAGAGTGAAACTCTGTCTCAAAAAATAAAAAATAAAAAACACAACCAAATACCAATTATCATACCTAAAAAGTTAACTGTTTTTTTTTTTTTTTTTTTTTTGAGACGGAGTTTCGTTGACCAGGATGGTCTCGATCTCTCAACCTTGTGATCCACCCGCCTCGGCCTCCCAAAGTGCTGGGATTACAGGCTTGAGCCACTGTGCCCGGCCCAAGTTAACATATTTTTAATGTCAAATATCCAGTCTTCAAATTTCCAACTGTCTTATAAAACCCTGAAATGACTTCTAAAAATATTTTATAATTTATGCCAGAAACAAAATGAAAGCACCAACCTATTATAGAATCAATGGCATAAATGAGAAGCCAAATGATGTGTCTGACACTCAAGGACTGTCTACTGCTAGTAAACCTGTCTACAGCCTTTACTGTGCACTAGCATTGCTTTAGGGGTTGTACATACATGAATCCATTTAACTCTACAATATAGGTGAATTACCAAGAGCATCATCTTACAGATGAAGAATGTGAGGCCCAAAGAGGTTACTTAATCATGTCTAATATCACCCAGCTAATATGAAAAGATAAATAAAATGTGTTCTATTCATACAATCGAATATTTTTCAGCTTTATGGCTGAAAGAAAAAAAGTACTGAAAGATGCTATCACATCGATGACCCTTGAGAAAACGTTATGCTAAGTGAAAGAAGCCAGTTACCAAAGACCACATATTATACTGTTTTGTTTATATGAAATGCCTATAATAGGAAAATCTATATAGAGTCAGAAAGTAGATTAGTGGTTGTCCAGGGCTAGAGAGAAGAGTAGAAGGGAGTGACTGCTAATGGGTCCAGGGTTTCTTTCTGGGGTGATAAAAATATTCTACAGTTGGATTGTGGTGATAGTTGCACAACTCTGTGAATACACTAAAAACCACTGAATTGAGCACTTTAAATGGTGAAGTTTATCATATGACATTATATCTCAATAAAGCTGTTTTTCAAAGTACATTCTCAAAAGATTTAAAATTTATCAAACCAAGGAATATTTATTAATCACCTACACAAGCACTACACTTGATTCTATGCAAGTTACAAAACAAATGTAAGACACAAACCCTGACCTCGAATTGGTTATAGTTCAAGAGCAAAGATACACATGCCATATATTATAATTCACTTTTGCTTTCTAAATTGTGCCCTTTTCTCAAAGGGGTAATCAACAGTCTGAACCAAGTTTTTGTTTTATAAAAGGCGCTTAGTTAGGGCGTAATGAACATATAAGCTATGATAAGACTGATCCTTTCCTCCTTGCCCCCGGAGACCTTTGGAGGTTCTGATCAACCACAAAGTTATCTTGTGAGAGAGCAACCTGGAGAGCTGAGGCTGGGCTGATTCACCTTATAACTGAAATAACGTTAAGTAAATGTGTTGTGACTCAACAGAGGCCAGGGCAGCTTCACAAGCCTAGGATAAGCTAAAACCAACAGGTCTGGTCCTCCTCCCTGGGTTTGGGAATGCTCCGGGTAAACAAATTACAGAGGTTTTCCTTTGCTATGACTGCTGAAGAGTAACGAAGATCCTTGATGAAGATCAGAGAATCACAGCCATGAAACTTGTGAGTGTTTAGAGAAGGGAGATAAAGGCCAACATACAAGATACAATCTGTAGAAAGGGACAATTTGGGGATCTGAGGTTACACAAAGTAATCATAACACTGAAGAAAACTGAAGAGGTCCCTGGTGGATCGTTCACAACCAGGAAGGTTTCTTGGAGATAGCATTTATCTTAAATGAATAATGAGAAAACTGCTGTTCAAACTCAAAGTGCCTGGGTACCAGGGACTTACAGATATAGGGCTTGGTTCTTCCCAGTGGGTACTGGAACAATGTCTAGCATAATGTCCAATGAACCCATAAAGCTTACATGTCACATAGATTCTAAAGCCAGATGTGAACAACAGAAACCTGTTTAAATTTTATAGATGTGCTTGTAATGTCACGTTAGTGTCTGATCAATTGACAGTAAAGAAAAGAAATATATGTATGCAGTATGCATATTAGTTTTGTCCCACCAAGCCTATCTTCGAATGGCAGACATTTTAAAACATCTGTTCTAGTTGCACAACTACTATAGCTTCATTATAAACAATCTTAAAGTAAGCAATGTTGGCCATAATTTCAATATTCTAGCCTTGCCGAGTGTCACTGTATTTTATTCAGAGACTATGTATAAATACACTAAAGTGGTGATGGTGATCGATATTGTAAAGAATTTATTCTGATAAATCAGAAACTGCATATAATGTCAAAATAGATATTTTCTCAATAAAATCTCAAATCGCCAAAAAAAAAAAAATTTTATAGATGTGCATTCAGCCTAACTTTATGATAAGAATTTGGATTCTCTGAAAATTTCAGATAACAGTGGCAATCAGAATCTTAAATGTTTACTGTTTGAGGCAGAACTACAAATGAAACTCTAATCAATAAAGTAGAAACTAACATTCTGAGCATTACCAATTATGCATCTTTCCTGAACAGCCTAGAAAGAACATTTCATCTGAATCAAGTGGCTTGGGCCCAGAGTGACCTGATGAATCAGCAGACTGCACTGCAACATAACCCTATAGCCAAGCTGCTTAAAATAAACCACAATCCCATTTGAACTACAATCGATACCATTACAATGGTCTCCTTACCTTTCACGACATCCGCTACGTTACAGGTGGGATCGATACTTCCTATGTGTTTAGGATGAGCAGGATTTGTGTCACCGCCAAACAGAAGTGCTAGACGAACACAAAAGGAAAGGGAGGGGATTAAAACACAGCAGGCTGGGCTAGTCGTGCAGGGAAATATAGGGGCTTATGTTTGGAAAGGATCTCTTACTTGTAAAAATGATTTTTGCATCCACAGCAACTTACAGCAATGGAATACACACAATTGATGGGTGAGCAACTTTTATTGGCCAATGAAGGAAGAGGATGTGCTTTAAGGCCTGTCTATTGCGGTCAGCAGGTTCTAAAGCAGTGACACGTGCCAGGTGCCCAAACCATTCTTTCTCACCCAATATGATGCGGATGAAGAAACTTACTTTCATCCTTAGTCAAGTATACCCACCTAGTACTACTCCAGACATTTATTCCAACTTTCATTAAATATTTAGAACACATGGTCTATACTATTTGGAGAAGCCTGCAAAGTGTCTTCGCTGGTGGCATTTCAGATGCCTCCCCCAAGGAGATTATGCTTCGATGATGTGTACATGAACAATATTTGCTCAAGTATTTTTTAAAAATACACTCAGATAATTTCACAATACACAAGATTCGCAAAATTTTGTTTCTGAATAAAAGCCAAAAGAATCCCCAAGGAAAAAAAGCAATCTGCATCCTAATATAGGTATTCTTATTTTTAAATCAAGCAAAAATTGCGACTAATAGAAGAATGCCTAAATAAAATAGGGGAGATTTTAAACTATGAAAAATTATAAATACAGGCATTACGCCAATTAATAAAGTTCCAACTGACTAAGGGGAAGAAAAACAGAGGTGTGTAGGCTGAATTAATGATCTAAAAACATGCCTGTATATATGTGTACATGTGTATTTAGATCAGAAAGTAATTGGCATTATCTAAGTAGTTTAGTTGAATAGTATTTAGGTTCTTTTATTCCTGTAAATTGTCATATATTTCCATTTTGAATATATACATTTAATATAAAGCTACTTCTAATAGTTTTAGAACATTCACTTATCCAAATAAATCAAATTAGTAAAATAAAGATGCTTTGTCCATTTTGTGATTCAGCAAAGAGGGTGAATTATGTTCTAGACATGTGGATGCTTTTCCTTAAGGATTATAAACTCAGCCAAAGAGACAGTGCTGAAGATGAGCCAAAAAGTTTTTTGTGTGGAGGGAATTTTAGGTTTGTTTTGTTTTGTTTTTTTCCTATCTGCTTAGCACCTTAGTACCCTAAAGAGCAGACTAAAACTCAATACAGGATTATGGGTTGACAGTCTGGCTTAATCTGACTTCACTGATCACTGTGAAGTAAAGAACTGATGGCTTCTATTGCCAACATCCAATTCAATATTCCCAGTGTCAGTGTTTTTAAAACTAAAAAGGAAAACATATAACATCCTGGATAAAGAAAAGAATACAATCTGAGATACATGAAAATATTCAGAGATGAAGGCTCGGCTGCCTCATCCCCATCAAGACCGTATCAGCAGAGGTTTAAAAGGTAGGCAGTTGTCCTGTCTCTAATGTGAGCATCATGAAAGCCTTTCAAAAATTTCTTTTAACCAAGAATATGAATTAATCACTTTTTAATGGCTAGGACTCACTTAGGAAAAACTAAACTAGAAATGAAATTTCTACAACCAAAAATGCAGGCCAGTAAATTAACAACAGGAATACATTTGGGAGAAATCACTCTGGTTACCTTTTCAAAACTGGACCAACAAAACCCAACTTACTGTGCTGGTTAATAAGCATGCGGAAAGAGATGCGGTTGGTATAAAACCGATCCAGAAAATACTGGATGTTAGTGCTAGTAAAAGGATCAAACCCAAACTTCTCCTTGTATTCAATCACTCCTTGTGCCATTGTAGGAACCACGTCATTGTGTCTATTTCTGACTTTAATCAGAACTTGTAGAAAGCTGTGTGAGAGGGAAACAAAACGTGGTCAGTCTTAATATCTCATGGGCTGATGCACAGACTTCCCACCTCTGTCCCCAGACTAAGTTGTCAGCTGATATTTTTATAAGCAGGGATATTATTCTTACTACATACTACAAGGACCTTCTCACAAGAAACTCAAGTATGAGCCAACTTTTTGCTTCAAACTTTCTTTCTACAAAACTCTTCTTTCAGAGGTGTAAAAAGTAAAAGGTTCTAGTACAGAAAAATAATGCTCAAATACCCTTTTAGGAATCCACTGACTTTTTGGATAAGTGATTACACATAATATAGGTTCTATAAAAGTTGAATAAAGAATTGTAAAACATAACAATATTTCTCTTGAGAACATGAGGATAATCCCCCCAAAATCGCCAAGGATTGACTAATGAAATCTCAAAGCAATAGCTTCCATGAGTAAAGAAGTAATGTCACATAGTTTAAGAGTAAAATTTTGAAATAAATATCGCACAGCAGTAAAAGATAGCGATGAAATGTAGATAGAACACAGGCAATTAAAACAAACTACTCAAGTGTCTAGCATATTATAATAAACATGCATAGAGGAAAATACATTAAGAATGGCAGAAGACAAACCAGTCAATGGAACTAAATAAAAAGTTTAGAACCAGGCCCATGAGTGAGTGAATATGTATATATAAAAATTGAGCATATTGAGAAAGTGAAATTGCAAATCAGTAGGTAAACAATCAAGCTAATAATCAAGTTAAGTGGAACAGCAAGCTAACAATTTAAGTCACATCCTAATTTCAAGCCTTAAACCAAATACTGGATTAAAAATGCAAAAGGGTGAAATCACAGAAATGACAACAGAAAAAATCAGGTGAATAAGTATATAATTTTGGGGTAAGGAGGGCCGTTCTAAGCTTAATACCAAAGGCAAAACAAATAATGTGAAGAAACAAATGATATGACTATGTAGAATTTTAGCAATCCTATAGGGACACATATTAATAAATGAAGTGAAAAAACAAAAAACTTTAAAAAAGGAAAAAAACTAGCACCCCATTAAAAAACTAGGCAAAGGGGGCTGGGAGCGGTGGCTCACGCCTGTAATCCCAGCACTTTGGGAGGCCGAGTGGGTGGATCATGAGGTCAAGAGATCGAGACCATCCTGGTCAATATGGTGAAACCCCGTCTCTAATAAAAATACAAAAATTAGCTGGGCATGGTGGCGCGTGCCTGTAATCCCAGCTACTCAGGAAGCTGAGGCAGAAGAATTGCCTGAACTCAGGAGGCGGAGGTTGCGGTGAGCCGAGATCCTATCATTGCACTCCAGCCTGGGTAACAAGAGCGAAACTCCCATCTCAAATAAATAAATTAATTTAAAAAAAAAACTAGGCAAAGGATCTGCTATCAATGGAAAATTTACCAAAGAAGAAGCGCAAATGCCAATAACTTCACCCTTACAAGTAAGAAATGCAAATTAAAACAATGTGATACTTATTCTCCATGTATCAGCATCAGCTAGAGTTTGGGGCTTAACTGACGCATTTCTCAGGACAATCTGGCAACATAAAGCAAAAGCCCAAAGAAAATGATACCACTTCCAGGAATTGATCCTAGGAAAATAACTGGACAAGGTGAAAAACTATTTATTTATTTATTTTTGAGACAGAATCTTGCTCTGTTGCCCAGGCTAGAGTGCAGTGGCATGATCTTGGCTCACTGCAACCTCTGCCTACTGGGTTCAAGCAATTCTCCTGCAGTCTCCCGAGTAGCTGGGATTACAGATGCCCACCACCACACCTGGCTAATTTTCATATTTTTAATAGAAACAGGGTTTCACCATGTTGCCCAGGCTGGTCTCGAACTCCTGGCTTCAGGTGATCCAAGCACCTCGGCCTCCCAAAGTGCTGGGATTACAGGCATGAGCCACTGAGCCCAGCCAACAGCTGTATTTAAAAGCTGTTCTTTAAAGTATTGTTTATAGTAGCACAAAAACTACAAACCAGTCTAAAATCCAGTGATAGAAGATCAAATCGCATGAACTACCTAAAAATGGACTATTAATATGAATATTATGAAACTATTAATAACGTTGACACTTGTTATGTCTGTAAAAATATTTTACACATATAAATATATGTGTGCCCAGGGAAAAGCATGGAAGAAAGGAAAATATTAATAGTGGTTGTCCCCTAGTAGTAGAGATTGGGGTGACTTTCTTTTTACTTATCTGAGTAGTCTTATTTTTCTGAATGATGGAACATTTCTGCAACAAATACATACATACAATGACAATAAAGATGTAAAACTCTGAAATTAGGCCATCATTACTCACAAAAAATTTTATAATGGACATTTTTCCTTTATGTAATACTTGTTCCAATGTATTTGCAAGTTAAATCTTACTAAAGTCAAACAATTCATTATAGTAGAGAAGTGCCTCAACTTATTTGAAGGGGCGAAACTTACCTCAATGGCTCAAAATTCTCCCTCAGTCTTCCAGACCAGGCGTCCCCAAACTACAGCCCGCGGGCCGCATGCGGTCCCCTGAGGCCATTTATCCGGCCCCCCGCCGCACTTCAGGAAGGGGCACCTCTTTCATTGGTGGTCAGTGAGAGAAGCACAGTATGTGGCGGCCCTCCAACGGTCTGAGGGACAGTGAACTGGCCCCCTGTGTAAAAAGTTTGGGGACGCCTGTTCCAGACTCTTCTAAACTCTATCATAAATGAACAACATGCTTGTCCTCTAAGCTACTTTTGCTTTACTAAAATGATTTCCCTGTTGGTGATCCCACATACCTCTTGCTAAACAGAAAAGGCTGCTACCATGATATTCACTCACCTTTCACTCCTTCCTTCACTAAGGACATCAGCCTTCTCAAATGCCAACTGTCCTAACTAGCCACATGAACCTGGGCAAGTTACAAAACTTACAAAGTGAGAGCTCAGCTATTATTGCAATGGTCAAGCACGCGCTGGATTCAGCACTGACAGTTTGCAAAGCAGGCTCATGGCCGTAAATTGCATCTGCTAACCTGTTCCAGAAACTGAGACGAGATTCCGGAAAAAACACAGCAGAAATTTAATATCGTGTACAGTTGTCTCTGAGTATCTGCAGAGGACTGGTTCCAGGATCCCCACAGATATACCCAAATCCTTGGATGCTCAAATCCCTTATAAAATAGTACGTATAGCCTAGTCACATCCTCTCAGATACTTTATATAATCTCTAGATTAGTTATAATAACTGATACAATATAAATGCTATGTAAATAGTTGTTAGACTGTATTTTAAAAATTTGTATTATTGTCGAGCGCGGTGGCTCGTGCCTGTAATCCCAGGACTTTGGGAGGCCAAGGTGGGCGGATCACCTGAAGTTGGGAGTTTGAGACCAGCCTGACCAACATAAAGAAACCCCGTCTCTACTAAAAATACAAAACTAGCCAGGTGTTGTGGTGCATGGCATGCCTGTAATCCCAGCTACTTGGGAGGCTGAGGCAGGAGAATCACTTGAACCCGGGAGGCAGAGGTTGTGGTGAGCTGAGATCATGCCATTGCACTCCAGCCTGGGCAAAAAGAGCAAAACTCCATCTCAAAAAAATTCTTTATGTTATTTCTTATTGTTGTATTGTTATTTTTTATTGCTTTTTTCCCCGAATATCTTTTTGATCTGTGGCTAGTTGAATCCAAGAAGGTGGAACCTGCCAATACAAAAGACCAACTATACTTCTACAAATCTGTTCTAAAGTCTGGAGCTAGAGTGGTCAGCCCTAGGTTTTAGGATTTCCATCAAATGGTTGCCAGCTAATGACTTTTGAGAAAACAAAGCTCCTAGATCAAATTCATTTAATATTGATAGCTTAAATGACAGCAGTGGCTTATATCAAGGAAAACGCTGCATCTGGGGCTCTAACCGAGTGCTTCCCTGCCTTCCACATTTCACAGATCCATTAGACAAAACACCCAGCAAAGCATAAAACAGGTGAGGACTTTTGTTTTTCCTTTGAATCATAGTTTACAACTAGACTAGACCTAGCTACTAATGGCTCAAACATATGACATAACTTATAGGTCCAGCTCTGCTATGAAGGGTCACAATCTTGGGTAACTCACTTCACATCTCTGACCTCAGTTTCCTTATCTGTGGATTGAGAGGACTGGGTTAAATATCTCCTAAGGTTGCTTGTATACCATGGTGTTTCCCTAGTTCTTCTTATGGAACATCTATTAAGTCAGGTGTTCAGTCTCACAGCTATGTGGACTGGTTTATACTTAGAAATTCCTTAGCACAACAGGCCTGTCATATGCATCCACTCACATATACATAAACAGGAAGAAATTAATCTGAAAGTGATATTTAATTTTTCTGTGGGGGAAAAACATACTCACAGCTAGAGTTAGTGTTCCTGGGATAAATAAAAATGAAAAACACAAATATCTCATCAGCCTGATAATTTGCCAGTCTGTGCATAATGGCAGCAATAGAATTCAGGTTGCTATATGAGAAACACACTCTTTTCTGCTTCTCCAAAATAAAACCACTATAGTTTTTGAGCTCAAATGTAATATCCTATTGAAATTTTTTTTAATCATAAAGGATTGAGCAGATAAATTCATGTATATACAAAGGCTACTGCATTCTTAAAACTACCACTAGATGGAACATTTACTGCAGTATTTACACTGAGTGCCCAGTTCACCTTGGGTGAAGGTATTAGATCATAAAAGCAAAACTGAGTAAGATATTAAAGAATTAGATCATAAAAGCAAAACTGAAAGTGTTATTATTACTTTTGTATTGTGTTACATTCTTAACTCAAATTTAAAAGCAACTCAATGGTAAGTCATTACTCATTAAGAAAACGAATGCTTTTGTCCAAGTCATACTCCCTGAGTCTTCATGACTTGAATTACATTTACCAAAATCTTTCTTACCTGGATATTTTTATTTTCAGGTAAGTGGTACCATACTTACTTATTCAAGACCTTTGGATCCTCAGGACTCTTATTTTCATATTCCAAAAGTTCAAGAAAACTCTGCATGTACCTAAAGGGAAAAAAAAGAGTTACTGTGTTAGTCGCCTACCCAGCATCCACCCCTCCTCTCCCTCTTCCTAAGAGCCCTCCAAATTTTCATGTCTCCATCCCATCCCCATCACCCTATGCCTCAAGTGCATCTGGGAAGCCGGTACCTCCAAAGATCCTGGGTGGTCCAATTTTTCTCTGGGCAATCCTATTTCTCTTGTCACTAATTGTTCATTAGTCCAATAATGTAGGTCTAAGCCTATCACTGTGTGCATTCCCCTGAACACAGGGAAAGGCTCAGGAAAGGACATACTGTCTCAATTTGGGCTAGTAAAATGACAGAAAAGACTTGCTAGAGCACTCTGGCAGAGAAACCAACTTGCTCTGCTTTTGTAGTGTGCTGTGTGGATTAGAAGCCTGGAACTGCTGCAGCTATTCTGCCACCAGGAGGGAATCCAGTCTGAAAATGAAGCCAACACCAGTGAAAGCAGGGTCTCAATAGCTTCATGAGTCTCTGAATCAAATCAACACCAAAAGCCCACCCTGCGGCTGGACCTTCTAGTGACATGAGTCGGGTTTAGTTGCATTTTCTCTACTTACAGACATATCCTAAGGTATATACCAAGTCTACAGTTTGATTACCCAAAAATGTGCATATACATTTTAAGAAGCACATATGTGACACTGAAGTGCCTGCCAAGACCTTAGAAACTAGAAGTGAAGAAGGGTCCTTCTGAGTTAGATTAATTTCATCAACACTTAATGGGGGAAAAGGAATGCCAATTAAACCCTCAGAAACAGCTTCTGGATTAAGAATAGCTGCATATCTCAATCAGGACCAGTATAAGAAACAGTGTGTCTAACATTAAGATCTGGAGAACACAGGAAAATGAGATCCAGAGAGGCCCATTAGTGCAGCAGCTACATCTAGCCAGGACCTGTTGGATCTAGTGGCAATTCAGATATTCCAATTAGAGATATATGACCTCTATTTGGGGTTTTAACATGTCCTGAAAGAACTATCCCTTGATTCCAATTATTTCTAACCATTAATTGCCACCAATCCTATTATCTACCTTTGGATAGAGGATGAGGACACTCCAGTAACTAAAAATGACTGTTATACATATAAATACTCCAATGAGAATGCCACTTGATTCATCAGCCTCATGTGAACTTTGGACAATGCATCTAATACTAATAAATGTTCATCACTGGACATTATTTTTTAAAAGTCTCTGGGGGCTGGGTACGGTGGCTCATGCCTGTAATCCCAGTACTGTGGGAGGCTGAGGTGAGTAGATCACTTGAGGCCAGGAGTTCGAGACCAGCCTAGCCAACATGGTGAAACCCTGTCTCTAATAAAAATACAAAAAAATTAGCTGGGTGTGGTGGCACACGCATGTAGTCCCAGCTACTCAGGAGGCTGAGGCAGGAGGATCGCTTGAACCCAGGAGGCAGAGGTTGCAGTGAGCCAAGATTGTGCCACTGCACTCCAGCCTGGGTGACTGAGCAAGACTCTATCTCAAAAAAAATAAATAAATAAATAATAAAAGTCTCGTCGGGAGTTTGAGACCAGCCTGATCAACATGGAGAAATCCTGTTGCTACTAAAAACACAAAATTAGCCAGGCATGGTGGTACATGCCTATAATCCCAGCTACTTGGGAGGCTGAGGCAGGAGAATTGCTTGAACCTGGAAGGCAGAGGTTGCGGTGAGCCAAGATCACGCCACTGCACTCCAGCCTGGGCAACAAGAGCAAAATTCCACCTCAAAAAAAATAATAAAATAAAGGTCTCTGGACATATAAGGCAATGGATTAGATAATGTTAAAATCATTGGGTCAAAACACGAAGAGGTCAAAGCTAGCCAGCCCCAGTGATTCCCTTCACCCTGCCACATGCAAGCAAGCTAGGTAAGCATCCTGTCCTTTCCAAAGGGGATAGTACAAGAAAGTCATAAATAGAAACGAACCAAAGATTATTCTGAGGTTCTCAGCCTGACAGTCAAGAGAGCAGGGAGGACACACCGTGACCAAGGGGATGGTGGTGGTGGGGTCTGCAGCCCATTGTGCATAAAATTTGCTTTTAAAAGGAAAAAAAGATGGCAGTGAAACACAATGCATGATCCTGAAGTGGATTCCTAAATCAGGAGGAGAAATTGCTCAAAAAAAAAAAAAAAGAAAGAAAGATGGGGGCATTATCAAGACAATTAGTAAAGTGAGAACAAGTTCTATATATCAGAAGACATTACTGTATCAATGTTAAATTTCCCAAATTTGATGATCACATTGTGGTTTTCTAAGACCTGTTCCAATGAAACACACGCTAAAGTATTTAGGGCAAAGGGGCATGATGTAAACATTGTGTATGTATACGATATATAGGTGTGTGAACCATTATACAGACACAGATATACACATGTGTGCACACATGTGTGTGCATGCGCACGTGTGTATGCAGAGAGAGAGAGAATATGAATGACAATGATAGAGTGTGGCCAAATGTTAACAATGTCAACAATTAGTGAATCTACGGGAAGGTATATGGGCATTCTTTCTGCCAGTTTTGCAACCCTCTGTTAAGCAGGAAAGTATTTCAAAATGAACGTTTAAGAAACAAGAAGGAAGAAATGGCATGCATTTATTTGGAATGGATATGGCAGAAGAACGGTTAAAAGACAAAAACAAAAAAATAGAGTTGGCATAGCAATTTGAGCCTATACTTTGCCAGTATAATATAATACATTTAAGTACATTTGGTCTTTGTTTCTGCTTCTTGGCACAGTGCTCCTAAAACTCTTGGAACTTCCTGAGTGATAGGGGTGTCTTCTGCTATCCATAAGAAGCCCCCCTTGACCACACCTGAGTTTATGCTAATGTGGTAACGTAGGATGGACCGCTAGATAGCTTCAGGATGGGGCTGGTCACCAGAAAGGCCAAGTGATTCGAGAACTGGATCTTCCAGCTCTATCCTTGACCTAGGGCTTCCAGGTTGATGAACATATAGGGATACTGGGAGGGTGGTGTGCAGGCATGGGAACTCCACGCACCCCCTATACCTTGCCCTATGCATCTCTCCCAGGTGGCTGTTCCCAAATTGTACTCTTTCCAATAAACCTATAAACATAGGTAAAGTACCTTCCAGAGTTATGTGAGCCACGCTAGCAAATTATCAAATCTGAGAAAAGGGGCATGGAAACTCAATAGACAGCCACTCAGTCAGAAGCACAGGTGGCCCAGGATTTGTGATTGTTGTCTGCAGTGAGGGAGAGTTTTATGGGGTTGAGCTGTAAAGCTGTGGGGTATGCACTAAGTCCAGGTAGGTACTGTTAGGATTGAACTGAATTGCTAAACCCACTTGCTGTCCAGAGAATCAGAATTGGTTGTTAATGTTGGAAAACACCAAAGAGCCCAGCAATTAACTTTGAAGCCCCTGACCCAGCCTGTATATAAGCAACAATAAATCTTTAAGTGTCACCACCACCAGGATTAGGGGACTTGATCTTGCCTACCTAGAATCCCCACCACGGTGGCCTCTAACTGTGATTTTATACTTTCTACTGGAAAATCTCTAATGATAGCCTTGAAGAAATAAAGAATTCTCATGCAAACAAGAATTTGCTTCTCTTTCTGAAACAAGCTATGGAACCAGAGCAGGACGCAAGGAACTATAACATCAAAGCCAGGATCACAGTCACTTTGATTTCTCCTACGTTCCAAAGACTACATGCCACACGGTGAGAAGCTACTGCTTGTCTGGAAAAGATACTTGATATTGTACTTCTGAGACCACACAATATAGTGTTGCTCAGACAATTCATTTTAACCCTACGAATTTATTATAATTAATATTATGGAGAAATGGCTATTGAATGTCCATTCTTTTCAGTAGACTGGCCTCCACCACCCCTCTAGATGTGAGCTAATTAATAGTTCCATTCTCCTTATATCTGTCCACACCATTCCCTTCTAAAATGCTCTCCCTGTAACCTGCAATCTGTCAATTCCACCACCCACCAAGGGGCAGCGTGGTACCACAGCTTGCATTTTTGTCCATTCTCTGTGCTCCCACAGCACTGTTGCTTGCTTGAGAGGACTGATGGCATCTGACCTCTCAAACTCCTCCAGCTTTCTTCACAGTGACTTCTACTTTGCTTTTATTTATTTATTTATTTATTATTTATTTACTTATTTTTGAGATGGAGTTTTGCTCTGTTGCCCAGGCTGGAATACAGTGGCATGATCTCAGCTCACTGCAATCTCTACCTCTCGGGTTCAGGCGATTCTCCTGACTCAGCCTCCTGAGTAGCTGGGATTACAGGTGCATGCCACCACACTCAGACAATTTTTTGTATTTTTAGTAGAGACAGGCTTTCACCATGTTGGCCAGGCTGGTCTCAAACTCCTGACCTCAAGTGATCTGCCCACCCTGGTCTCCCAAAGTGCTGGGATTACAGGTGTGAGCCACCATGCCTGGCCTCTACCTTGCTTTTAAAACAGAGTAGACCTGCAAATGTTTCTCAAATGCTGTATATGCAAGTCCCTTTCTAAGAACACAGCACTTGCTCTTACATCCTACCATTCGTTAATCTCACCCTGCTTACCCAGGGGGTAACTTTGCATTACAAATTCAACTTCTTCAGTTAAATGACATATGCTTTAAGGTATGAGAACTATAACTGATTTAAGTTTATGTTACACTGTCAAAATTTTTCATACTTTTCATGGAGCAAATAAAACACAGCAGGGAACTGATATTTTTCCAATCTGAAGTTCCCCTTTAAATGACTTAATCTGTTCTACCAGAAGTACTGCCTTCAAGGAACGTCTTTACAAGAAAAACAAAAGGAGCAAGGTTAACACTTGATAAAAGCAGCAAACATCCTGTCTGAAGAACTGCAATCCCACCACACACAAGAAAAACTCAAGAAAGTGTCAAGAAAGCACAACGTACAAGCATTTTCATTAAAACAACTTTAAAATGAACAGTTCAATAAGAAAAAAAAAAAAACAACTTTTAATTGCATGGAAAACCCAGCTATCCCAAATGACTCATTCCCAGACGGGCAGTTTGTGCACTTTTACAGAGAATGGTCCCACTGCCAAATGTTCACAGCATTGTGGGAAGATCCATTTTAAGCCACATTGTTTACTTACCAGCTCTGAACCAATCCAACTGAAGGGCGGTTAAGTAAATTATCCGGCAGAAGATTAACTTCTCTCATCGTGTTAGCCAGTCGCACGGGAAGTTCCTTTCGTAGAAACATGTATGAAGTTTTCTCACATGCATTATCTCTCCCTATTAAGACATGAAAAATGTTCCATGATTTTATAGTCTAACAGATGGAGAAATAAAGTGCTTCCAGGGTAGCACGGTTACTACTGGTTGGGAAGATAAAATTAAATAATCCTGCCATCACTAGTTGAACTTTTATCCTTTGAAATAGCAAGTTCAAGAAAATAATTTAATTAGCAGAGAAAAAGCACATTCATTACAAGAGGCAACCTTGAAAGTGGTTTTCTTTTCTTAACACAAAAACGTTCCTAGTGTTACCAGTGGCAATCTAAAAGTGACCTGGGATATAATCTGAACTTGTTTTCAAATAAACACTGTGGGAAAACTGCCAAGTACAAAGGTAATGGAACATGTAAATCCACTCCCGTTCATAGGGGTTTCCAGGAGGCAATGGATCCATTCATTCCACAAGTATTCACCTACTGTGTGTGCCAACTGTTTCCTAAGATTTTCCTCCAGTGTGTTTCTTCAGGAACCATAGTGCTGCCTCTCTGGGAAGTAGCCACAGACCTCAGAGACTCTGTGATTCCAGAGGAGGAGCTCTGACTGAGACACGGGGCTGGCATGTGCCAGAGAAACATGCCAGAGAAACTATCTCCTGGGTGTACTCAGAGGCAGAGTGATCTACTGTGCCACATCGGAGAGGGTAAAATGTGGGTTGATCATAAGGAAGGAGGTCAGTGCCTTCTGGGAGGCTTCCCTGAGCTGGCTGTGCATCAAATTTACATAAACAAAACACCATGAGAGGAAACATACCTGGTCACTTAAAAGAGGAAACCTGAGCTCCTCCCTCGGCTGCCATGTGGCAGGAAGAGTTCATCAGCCTGGCCTGCAACCCCCAGCCCTGCTGGAAACTCCATGGTGGCTGGGGATGGAGGGTCTGATAGAAAAGGCATGAGCTTTGGAGACAGAAACATCCTCCAGCCCCAAATCCTCCATTTGCAGACTGTAAAACATTTGGGAAGCTTCTTCACTTCTGAGTCTCAACTGCCTTAATCTGTAAAATGAGGTTCAAACTAGTTTGCATAAGGACTAAATGTGATACTGTGCATGAAGCCTGACATGGAGCAAGTGTTGGACAAACACTGGTCTTTCCGGTCTCTGTGATATTGAGGGGTCCATCCCATTTCCCTTGCCCTGCCTAGGCCTCTCAGCCACTCCATATTACCTGCAGGCTGCTCAGAAATGGGCAACATCGTGGCCAGGCCCAGAGAGAGACGAGCAGAGCTCATCTAACAGTTTTCTCTTCCAAACTCTCCTTATTCTTCCGTATGTTATAAAGGCAGCAAATCAAGAGATTCAGAAGTAAATCCAATTATCTAACACTTCCAATCACATTCTGGTTTATTCATTTGCTCTCCCTACCAAATAAAACTTGAGAAAAAGAACCTACTCTTGAAGGTCATCTGCAGAACCTTTCGTCCCCACTCATCCCTGACCCCCTTCTCCATTCTCAAAGAAGTCAGAATAAAAGATGAAGTCTGAAATAATCCATCCCTCATTTCCCTCATTCTAAGTGAGTATACTGAAGCAGTAAATCTTTTAACTAATTGATGATTATTTCACTTTTCTTCTTCACACTTTCACTGTAATAAGTACCTTAATCCCCAAATACCCACTTCAAGTAAGAGGGGAAGGGGTGTAATGGCCCCGAAATGACCTTCCAACATCTATTCTATACACATTCAATTGGCTTTAGGCAATTAACATTTAAAATGACTCTGGGGCCAGGCTTGGTGGCTCACGCCTGTAATCCCAGCACTTTGAGAGGCCCAGGTGGGTGGATCATGAGGTCAGGAGATGGAAATCATCCTGGCTAATACAGTCAAACCCTGTCTCTACTAAAAATACAAAAAATTAGCTGGGCGTGGTGGCGGGCACCTGTAGTCCCAGCTACTTGGGAGGCTGAAGCAGGAGAATTGCCTGAACCCAGGAGGTGGAGGTCACAGTGAGCAGAGATAGCGTCACTGCACTCCAGCCTGGGAAACAGGAGCGAAACTCCATCTCAAATAAAAAAAATCTCTGGTCATTTTGCTTCAAATAATATAGAGACAGTCCCCAATTTAAAACAGTTCAACTTAGGATTTTTTGATTGTTCAATCTTTTGACTTTATGATGGGTTTATCTAATTATTAAGTGCTTTTTTTTCTTTTTTTTCTTTTTTTTTTTTTCCTTTTTGAGACAGAGTCTCCCTCATTCACCCAGGCTAGAATGCAGTGGCACGATCTCGGCTCACTGCAATATCTACTGCCCCCCCGCCACCCCCACCCCGGGTTCAAGTGATTCTCGTGCCTCAGCCTCGAGTAGCTGGAATTACAGGCGCCCACTACAATGCTCAGCTAATTTTTGTGTTTTTAGTAGAGATAGGGTTTCACCATGTTGGCCAGGCTGGTCTCAGACTCTTGGCCTCAAGCGATCTACCCACCATGGCCTCCCAAAGTGCTGGCATTACAGGCGTGAGCCACTGTTACCGGCCAAGTGCATTTTTGAGTTATAATATTTTTGAGTTGCAATAATTAAAACTCAAAGGAACATCTGTATATTACCCCTAAAAGGTTCTGTATGAATATAATTTTGATTTTAAATGAGCATCTGTATATTACCCCTAAAAGGTTCTGTATGAATATAACTTTAATTTTAAATGGGCTAAAAATGCTGATATTTATCACGGTGAATCTCATTATAAAATGAAGTCCCTATTATCTAAGTTAAAATATAAGTCTAGCTTTTCACATGCCAGGAGAAATACTTTGCATCCTGGTTAAAGAGAAAGAAAATTATCTTTAAATCACAAAAGAAACATTGATGCTCTCACTGTGGGACAACAAAGACTCTCTCCTTTGACTAAACTTTAACCAGGTTCTTCTGGGTTTTTTGGTGTTTTTTTTTTTTTTTTTTTTTGAGACAGGGTTTCACTCTGTCACACATGCTGCAGTGCAGTGGCACAATCACAGTTTACTACAGCCTCAACTTCCTGGGTTCAAGTGATCCTCCCACCTCAGCCTCCCAGGTAGATGGGACTATGGGTACACCACACCCGGTTAATTTTTACATTTATAGTAAAGATGGGGTTTCGCCATGTTGCCCAGGCCGGTCTCAAACTCCTGGGCTCAAGCGATCCTCCTGCCTCACCCTCTCAAAGTGCTGTGATTACAGGTGTGAACTACGGCACCCGGCTCTGAGTCCTCTTTTTGACTAGGCCTCGACTTTGGGTTCTATCTTGACCTGCTTAGTCCAGGTCTTAGCAAAAATCCTGCTGGGTCATTTTAGTGAAAATCCCCTACCCTTGGTGTCTGGTCCCCCTACCTTCTGTATCTTATCACCCTGGCCTTCCTTCACCAAGAATCCCCTCCAACCTGGATTTTTTCTCTTAGTAACTTTCTACCCATTGACCCACACCCTATCCCTTAGCTATAAATTTCCACTTCTCCTTGTTGCATTCGGAGTTCAGCCTGATCTCTCCCCACTACTGCAAATTTTCCACTGTAGTGGTCCCTCTTGAATAAAGCCTTCTCTACCATCTTTTTTTTTTTTAATTTTTTTAATTGCATTTTAGGTTTTGGGGTACATGTGAAGAACATGCAAGATTGTTGCATAGGTACACACATGGCAGTGTGGTTTGCTGCCTTCCATCCCCTCACCTGTATCTGTCATTTCTCCCCATGCTGTCTTTTCCCACCTCCCCATCCCCCGTCCCTCCCCCATATCCCCCCAACAGACCCTAGTGTGTAGTGCTCCCCTCCCTGTGTCCATGTGTTCTCACTGTTCAACACCTACCTATGAGTGAGAATATGCGGTGTTTGATTTTCTGCTCTTGTGTCAGTTTGCTGAGAATGATGGTTTCCAGGTTCATCCATGTCCCTACAAAGGACGTGAACCCATCGTTTTTGATGGCTGCGTAATATTCCATGGTGTATATGTACCACATTTTCCCTATCCAGTCTATCATCGTCGGGCATTTGGGTTGGTTCCAGGTCTTTGCTATTGTAAACAGTGCTGCAATGAACATTTGTGTGCATGTGTCCTTATAGTAGAATGACTTATAATCCTTTGGATATATACCCAGTAATGGGATTGCTGGGTCAAATGGGATTTCTATTTTTAGGTCCTTGAGGAATCGCCACACTGTCTTCCACAATGGTTGAATTAATTTACATTCCCACCAACAGTGTAAAAGTGTTCCTATTTCTCCACATCCTCTCCAGCATCTGTTGTTTCCAGATTTTTTAATGATCACCATTCTAACTGTTCTCTACCATCTTTAACAAGTATCAGATAATTTTTTTTTTTTTGAGTTGGAGTCTCACTCTCGCCCAGGCTAGAGTGCAATGGCGTGATCTTGGCTCACTGCAACCTCCGCCTCCCAGGTTCAAGCAATTCTCCCTGCCTCAGCCTCCCAAGTAGCTGGGATTACAGGCACCCACTACCATGCTAAGCTAATTATTGTATTTTTAGTAGAGACGGGGTTTCACCATGTTGGCCAGGCTGGTCTTGAACTGACCTCAGGTGACATGCCCGCGTCAGTCTTCCAAAGTGCTGGGATTACTGGTGTGAGCCACTGCACCCAGCCGATTTTTTTTATTTAACAGGAAGAAGGAAGCTCTGGAGTAGGGAAGAAGTAGAAGAACTCTGCTATTAAACTGGGAGTATCAGTATGAACTAATAATTTTTTCACAATTATGAGTTTTTTGGGATAATGAAAGTATACATATTTAAATTTCCAAGTTGGCAGCCTGCTAGGAACCACAGGATACAAGCATGCCATGAGCAGTGAGAGCTGGCTGGCAGGCGTGAGGTGGCCACAGTCAGGTTCTCATCTCTTCCCTGAAACTTGCAGACCTAGATGGTTTCAGAATTAAAAGGTTTTCCAATTTTAGGAAGGTAAAAAGTAGTCTATACCATACATTGTATAATACAGAGTATTAGAGAGCCACAACGTAGCTGCAGTGAAATACATGAACATTTCCACTAAGTAGGATAAAGACTATGGAATCAAGTCAGTT